TTGTGAGCTGTGTTTCCAGTATGGCTCAGCCTTGGGGGGGATGGAAACTGCATGCATGGGACCATGCGCTGGCCAGTTGGGCTGCGGAGGCCGTCCAGCGGGGTGGTGACGCTTTTGTGGAGTATGAAGCTTGCTTTGCTGCTGTTGATGCTGATGAGGAGCCTGAGGCCGGCTTTCCGTCACGCATGCCCTAGTACTTTCGCCAAACTTCCCAACTCTGTAACCACCAACACGCGCGGGCGCTGATGCGCCTGCACTGCTGCTGCTGTCCCCCCTCTGCGCCGTCCCCCGCCCTGCATTACAACACCCCCACCCATTGCTGCTACTCCAACGCCTGGGCGGTGGCTGAGCACGCTCTGCTCGACTGCCCTGCAGACACGGACCTATGGGCCAAACAGCGCTTTGCGCCCTTGTTTGCGAATACACCCGCATTTGCTCGCCTGTGCGCGCAGCGCAGATCAGCACACACTGGGGGCCTTCGAGCACGGCTGCTTTGAACAGCGCACGGTAGCCACCTGAATCTCAGTCGCACAACGTTAATGCTTCGAGGTTCTATCCCATGAGCCTGGATAGCTCCAGGAGCGGACGACCACGGTGCAACTCAACCAAGTGATTGGTCACACGTGGCCGCCCCATTGCCGAGCTGACCACCCCAGTCTTGCCCCTGCTCCCGCTGCAGGTGGGAATTGCCAACAGCACATGTGGCCAGACATATGACAGGCACACAAAAACTCTTCCAACTTCCATCCAACAGCACGAGGACAAGCTCAGGGAGCAATGAAGCCCTCAAACACGCAAACAAAGGCGGCGCATTGACTTGCGCGGCGCGATCAGCAGCCAAGCTGCCACTCTGCGCGGCTTGGGTGTGCTCGACTGCTCGCGATGCGCCTCGCCTGTATGCTGCTCGGCATGTCATGAAATCACCAAGCGATGCATTCTGGCGGCTCGGGCTCGAATACGGCAGGTTGCAATGGTGGTGTGGAAATGACGTGCAGCGAGGGCACGCCCTGACGCGTGGGGAGTGATTGTAGGAAAGAAGGGTGGTTTAGATGACATTGCGGGACGCGGTGCATGCACGCGTGCGCCATCACAGCGCTCCCGACCCCACACACGCATTTGTACTTTAGGAGGGGGGAGGGGTGCAGCCGGCATCGTAGCGGCCTCCCAGTTGATGCAGGGAAAGGCCCGACGGGATGGGAACTCATCAGCAGTACGCAAGCGGTGTGCGCGGCTGACACCACACGCGACGTGTGCAATAATGCCCTGGTACTCGGAAACAATTTCCAGGCATCGGCCAGAGATGCGTCAAAGCCGGACGCGCCACATCGCCAGCACCCTTGGGGCGCAGATGGGGAAAGGCTAAAGCTGGGCATGTGAACATGCGGGCTCCAGTACTTGCAGGAGCCGCATGGCAACCGCCCAAATAGCCCCATGGCGGACTTGGAACTACCAAGTGGACTGTGGTAGCGGGGTTCTTGCGCGGGATGCAGCAAAGTGCACGATGAGGTGCGGGTCCTGGACCGCCTGCGGGCGCCGCGCGGACACCACGCCAAGGGCCGCTGGCACAGCCTGGGCTGCAGGCCTGCTTGGCGCAAGTGTGCACGGCAATAATCATGATAATAATAATAATAATAAACAGTCTCCAACACAGCAGCACGGGTTTGATGCCAAGGACTAGCGCAGCAAAGGAGCAGGACAGTGCTGCAGGGAGTCACCCCCAAGAGTTGACGGCAAAGCAGTCCAAAGCAGTCCATTTCCCAGGAACGCGGTCCAAGAAGACTGCGGCAGGCCGGCCGACGTTGCTGCAAGCAGGCGGTCGCCGGGATGATGATGATTGGGTGCCCTCCATGCCTGAGAGGAAAACCAATTGCCAGCAGGACGGGTGGCGGCGGGCACCGCCGCGCCGCGCAAGCCCTTGCAAAGGGCTACGTGTTGCGTCGTCGGTCTGCCTGGCGCGATGCGCCACACGACAAGGCGCGTCTTGCGCACGGCTCCCGGGTAAAGCACGGCAGCTGAGGTAACTCGCTGCCCAAGTGAGCGGGTAGGGCCCACGCACGCACATACACACACGCTGCCTATTGCGCCAGCAGGGCGGCGGCTTCCGCAATGATGTCGACGGTGTCAACCAAGGCCACCGCTGCCAGCGAGGCCGGCAGGTCGATGCGGGGGCCAGGGTAGCTGAACCGCCACTGGCGGTCAGCGACCAGGTGGGCGCACTGAGTGCGGGCGGGGCCGCGCCTGGGTTTGCAGGGGGGGCGGCCAGGTCAGCATGGGCCCAGGCGGTTCTGGTTGCAAGAAGCTCAAGCCTCGAGCAAATGCACGCGAAAGCGTGGTTGCTGAATGCATGCCTGCAGGGGATCAAATGCTGCTGATACTCCCTCTGCTGCAATCGGTGAATTCCTGGGTTAAGTGCCATGGCTTGCGCCCCTGCCGACAGCATGCACATGATGACGAACGCCAAAACAAACCAATAAACACCTCGCGCACCTGAAGGCGTCCAGCACATCGTCAGCCAATGCCACTGCCTCTGCCTGTGGCGCCTCCGCCGCCGCAGCCGCCTCCGGAGCGGCCGCCGCCGCCGCGTGCGCCAGCCGCCGGCCAGCCTTTGCCCCTGACTTTCCTTTCCCTTCGGCTTGGGCTGGCCCTGGCTGTTTGGGCGCTGGGGCTTTCTGGTTCGCTGCCCCGCCTTGCAGGGTAAGCCGCCGAGCGGGAGACGGCGAAGGAGACGGCGACGCCAACGGCGATGGCGAGGGCGAAGCTGAAGGTGACAGCGGCACAGGGGGACTGGAGGGCACCGGGGATGGCGAGGGGGACGGCTCTGGGCTGGGGACTGGCGGCGCCCGCCACTGCCCGGCCAGATTGATGGTGAGGTTTGAGGGCTGCCTGGTGACGTCCACGTCGTAACCGTCGTAATCGGTCGACCCTGGTGACGCCATGTGGGGCGGGTAACGTCGCGTGGAAAGGGGGTGGGGTGGGAGGTCGCGCGAGGAGCGTGTGGGCGAGGGTAGCGCGTAATGCATGCACCCCAGCATGCCCTGAAGAGGGGTCTGTGAGCCGCCGCGCCTGCGAGAAAAAAGTGATCGTATTGGGCTCACCTGGCCGCACCGCGTTCCAGAAGATGGCGGCCACAAAGCTCTTGTTTTGCTGCTTCGACAGTACGAGGTTGCGCAGGGTGATTGCGAAAACCACCTTCCTCTGCTCCAGGTTGAAAAGGCGCTGGGTCAGGCCTGGTGGGAGCAATCAAGAGAAATGGGCGTGGTGAGCAGGTTCCATAGCACAACTGAGCTGAATGGCCCATTGAGGGTCCAAAGTTCTACATGCCTTTTTTTCCTCGGTTCCTTGGGCAGCTACGCGCCCAACTCTTGATGCCTGCGATGCGGCCAGCGCCGCTCCTGTTGTAGGCCCCATCACGAGCTGTGAGGCTTGTCAACCCAATCTTCCCTAAAGATGCCTGTGCTGCCTTGTTTAGGCGCCTGCAGTATGGGTGGGCTCTGCTGTGCATGCATTGCCGGTGCTGCTCACCAAACTCCTCCACAATGAAGGGCTTGCCCATGCCCGCGGCCAAGTCCGTGTACAGCTGAAGCTTCCTGGCAGGTTCACGGAGGGGGTGAGGACGAGGTTGCGGTTGTGAAGGGCTGCAAACACCGGGGGGCCTGCTGCCAAACAGGTGTAACGTGCGCCGGCGGCATGCGAGCCAGATGGTTATAAGAAATCCACGTGCATGCCTTAAAATCACACTGCAACACAGCACCTTACATGATGCTTTACTGACAGTGAGGGAAAAACCCCATCGGACAGGAACCAACCCCTTTGAGACCGGGGACAAACCCTGGCTTTTCCAAGGAGGGCAATATCTCCGTCTACACATGCATGCTGGCACGCTCGAAAACTCCATTTTTCTTTGGTCTCAAAGGTTTTTGGCCGCAGGCACACACTTGTCCAGGTAGCTGCAGAACACATCGAAACCGGGGGTCGTCCACTGCAGCTCAGGCATGGCCTCCATCTGCCTGCGGCCCACAGGGTGGTAGCAACACTGCCGATGTCAAGGTCAAGTTGGGTTGCTCTTGAGCAAGCCCCGTTGCTCCGCATTTCAGAAGGAGCGCGTCCCCGGCGGCAGGCAACGAACAGGCACGCCAACGCGCTTGCACGCAAGCGCGCTGACGAGCGGATGGTCATGCGCCCGTGGTCATCAACCCTCCTCAAGCGCGCCCACCCACCTCTCGTACATGTGGGTGGTCAAGCCGCCGATCGCGGGCAGCTGAGTCGTCGCGAGGAGGTCCTCGCCCTCGCAGCCCGCGCCGCCGCCGGGGTTTTCCGACACGAGCCCGCTCGCCGCGGGCGGCGCGGGCGCGGGCGTTGAGGCGCCAAAGAAGGGCCAGAAGGACGCCGGCGCAGGGGCAGGCACGGGCGCCGGTGCGGCGGCTGCAGGGGTGCCACATGGAGAAGGGTAGGGTGCGCAAGAATATGTAGTTGGAGAGCACAGCTTTGGGAGGGAGCTCAAAGGTTGGCGACCTCGCCGCGTTCGATGCGGCATGAAAGCCTGGGTGACCCTGTCATTGTACCGCCCACCTGGGGCGAGGAAGAAGCCCTCAGTGCCGGCCAGCACCAGCGCCTGGGACGACACGATGCGCCTTGTGAAATTCGACACGTCGGCCATCCAGTCCCCGTGGGCGGCCAGGTCTGCGTCCGCGCAGGCCGGGCACCTGGGGATGTGTGAAGGGACGGCGTATGCGAGATGACCAGACATTGGAAATTGCGGATACGCATGTGAAGCCAGAGCTACACGTTGCGCAAGCACAAGCGCACACCTGCACACGCGCTCGCACCAGCTCACACATACACACACGCACACACGCGCGTTCGCGCGCGCATGCGCATGCGCGCACAGATCATGGCCGAGCAAATGCAGGCTCGGCCATACCTGGGCTCATTCAGGATGTCAAACCCATAGATTGTAGGATCTGCTTGATAGAACTGCCGCGACACCGTGTTGGCGCGGCCCAGCATGAAGGCTATGTGCTGCTTGTACAGCTTCCGCACGGACGGCTCCCTGAAAATGTGCGTGGGTTGCAAAGGGTTTGGCAGTTTGCCACTCAGGGCTTTGTGGCCTGCGGGCGTTTGTGACGAAGAGCTAGGTGAGAAGGAAGCCCAGCTCTGTAATCAGGCAAGCCTTGCAGCTGGCCTGTGATGTGCTGCAGGCCGTCACATGACACGCGCTCGCCTGCACACCCATGCGTGGAGCGCACCTGTAAAAGTCTGTGACGTCGCCCGCCCAGGCGCCGGGCGTCTCCACGCCAAAACCAGTGCCGTTTGCAGAGGTCCCACTGTAGCGCGCCCACCGCACCCACTCCTCCGGGCCCTTGTAAGCCTGCGCGAGGTGGGTGTGCGGCCGCAGGAGCAGGCCGGTCAGCCGCGGGCGCGCACCTGGGTGCGGCGGCACGCGCGGCTGGGGTGGCAGAGCAGCGCACTGCGGCTGCATGCCAAAGAGCGACACGGGTTTCGTTCGCCCGCTCAGCACAGAGGATGCTGCCTGCATGATACCGCCAGCAGGCCACAGCTTGCAGATATACCAGTATGGAGGTGACTCACCGCCCAAAAGTTGCCAAGTGACAAGATCACCCTCATACCGCGGCGCTGGCAGGCAGCCACTGTGTAGTCCAGGCCCCTGGAATCAAGGGTGTGGGCAGTAAACAGTGATGTTGCAGCAAAGCGCGCGCTCACGCGCCCATGAAGGCCAGCCCATGAAGCATGGCGCCCTGCACGACCCAAGCCACATATGTGCTGCAGACGGTGTCTGCAGCACAGACCGTTGTGCCAGGTTGACCATGAGCCCGACGCGCACGCTGCAAAGGCGCCAGCATCCAAGGCTGTCAACCTGACTCTGGGGCACAGCCTTCAAAGGAAGTGCTCTGGGCCTCACCATGCAGATCCTCCCCATATCAATGAAGTGCAAATACGACCGGTCGAAAACACTCACATGAGCTCTGCTTTTGAGTAGTTTCCAGGGGCCGCAGGCATGTTGTAGTTGAACGCCCAGGTGCGCACGAGCTTGACACCGATGCGCTGCGTTGTTTGGGCGGCGGAGACATCGGCGTTGTAAGGGCGGTGGCCGCTCGGAGATGGTGGCGAGTGTTGCGTGCTGATGTGGCAACGGATGCTGAGAGATAGTGGCGAAGGCAACATGTAGCTGCAAAGTGTTGCAAGATACATGGGGCAAGGTGCAGGCCCACGCGTATGGCCTTGCCAGAAGATCCAAAACTGTTGGCTGCTGTGATGACTGCCCGCTCCACTGCGGCAGCGGCCGAGGGCAGTCGCACCCCCCCTCCCCCGCCAACAGCAGTGGTGGGTGCAGGCCGCCGCACTGGGCCACAGCCTGCCGTTGCATCCGATGCTCGCACCTGCAGACCGTCCAAAGCTTTTTCGACTGCTGCGGTGTCGCCCCATGATGCGTAACTGGGCATCCAATGTGCGTTGGCCCCTATCATGTATTCATAAGCGCCTGCACAAACAGTTTCCCGAGGTGAGGGGGTGCGTTGTCGGGGGACGTCACACCACATGGAGTGGGGCGCTGTGACCAGCGGGTGGGTCCAAAGTGGTACAAGGACCAGCATCTGGGTCATGCACTTGGCCCCGCTGAGCGCAGCTGCCGGCGGCGCGCCGAGGGAGGCGTGTGAGCACCGAAAGGGCGCTCCCCCTATTTTTGCACGCACCTGCTCTGCTGACCGCGAGCAGCAGCAGCACTGTTAAGTGTAGTGACATGCCTGGCCCCGGCCCGGCATGTAGGGTGGCCTGCGTGGCGCATGTTATTGCGGCGTCATGATCAAAGCACTCGCACAGCCCAGATAGACCAAACACGCCACCAATTGGCGCTTCCATGGCAACTTTTGGTACGCCGGCAAAACCCCTGGGTACATCAAGTCTAATACGCAATGAAAACTCAACTCATGCAAACCATGCTGATAAAGCGGTCAAAGCAGCTGCTTCTGCTGCTTCTGATGTTGCGGCTGCTTTTGCTCATGAGTGCTGCATGGTGGGTGTGCGAGTTCGGGGTGCTGCAAAGCAGGGGATGCACCTGGCATCAGCCCGCTGTCGGGGCTGCTCTCCAGTCAAACGTGCAAACAATTCGCTCTGTCGTCCTTGTTGGCCCGCATTGTAGCTGCGCCTACCTGTAGTCCTCACGCACCGTCCGGCTGGTGTGGCCCCCTTCCCGATTGCCGCGGTCCGCGGGTGACAATGCTCAGCTGGAATGGTTTCGAGATAGTGTTATGTTTTTGAGGTCAGCACAGATCCCCGTGACGCGCTGGAGACGGGGTCCTGAGCTCGAGTGCGAAAACGGGCTGTGTACAACTCTGTTTTTGGAGAGTGGCATACACCTACCGTGCGTTAGAATTTTGCAGGGTCTTCGACAGTACGCCTCCTTGCTGCACAGTGAGGCGGCCTGAACATGACGGCTGCGCCAGCTGCCGTGCAGGTGCGTGCTGCATGGCCATGGGCTATGTTCGTATTACCAGGCCACCAGCAGGCCGTTTTTAATCACAGTCACAGCACCGACTTACTTCAAGGTGAATACGGCATTCCAACCACAGTAAGTGCACGCAGACAGTGTCATTACGTGATGCACAAGGCCAAAGTGCTTAGGACCCTTCGCTTCAGTGTAGGATAACCTTGTGTCACGAGCAGCCAAACAAGCAGAGGCACGAATGCGTCCTAAGAGGACAAAGCCTGGTGAAAGCGGCGCAGGCTTTCATGGCAAAATCAGCCGTGGAGCAGCGGGCCCTGCCGCTGCATGTTGCAACTTGCCGAGGGGGGAACAAGCAGCCGCATCAGAACTGTCACCACGCACACGGATCGTGGTGAATTTGGCACCCCAACCTGCTCAGCACAAGGCAAAGGTGTCGAAACATTCAGGTTGCATATAAATGCTGGAGCAAGGAGATGGCAAGCAGCCAGGGCACTCGACTGTCAGTGTTGAGGAAATTCCCTACCCCACCGACGCTGTTGACTTGCTGCACGTTTGGGGGAACAAAATGGAAGTGGTTGAGTCGCTGCCTCTCAGGGGCATGAGCACGTAGCTGCGCAGGGCAGTGCAAGGTAGGGGTTGAATGTGTTTGTGGCTGGCCGCAAATGAATGCTTTGGGGGCAGGGGACTGATGCAGGAACCGCTGCGTGCTGGGGGGCCCAGAGGTGGTGACACTGGTTGTACTGGTAATTATTTGTGTGAAAGGAACAAGGGAAGGCCAAGTGGCGGCACAGGGGGATGCTCAAATGAAATATTAGCGGCCAAAAAGCCATTTCAAATTGCGTACATGCCCCAAATTTGTGGTTTTTGGACAGGTGCTGTCCTGCCAGCCAGTGCGGGCGCTTTGGCAGTTGACGCGATCTACATAGCCAGCAGGGCGGCCGCCTCCGCGATGATATCCACAACATCCACGGGCGCCACGCGCGCCCGCCAGGCGGCGACGTCCACCGTTTGGGGCGGCTCGATGAAGGACCAGTCAGAGGCGGCCGCGTTGGCGCATGCGGCGCGTGCAGGGCCGCGCCTGGGGCGTGGGGCGTTTGTGTGAGATGATTGAGCGAGGCGAACCAGGGTTTGTAAGTGTGACGACAGGGTCAACTGTGTATGCTTGACAACGCCTAGGAGATTGCGTGTGTGCCTGCGCACTCATGCAACGACAGCGACATGCTGACGCACGCCAGCATGCTGTTGGTGGGCTTGCGTGCAGGTGGAAAAAACCCCACCTGAACGCGTCCAGCTCATCTTCACTAGATGTCACCACCCCTTGCGACAGCCGCCTGGCGACGCCCTCGGGGCTGCTACTGCCGGCCGAACCTGGCAGGTCCTGCAGCGAGAGCGCCCCGTCGTCCGCAGCGCGCAGCAGCAGCCGGCGGTACTGTGCTGAGGGTGACAGCGGGGGCTGCGGGCTGACTGCACCGGCGGGGCCCGCGCTGGAGGGTGGCGGAGGCGCGTTGCCGAGGCCGATGGTGACACCAGAGGGTGACTTGGTGACCTGCACGTCGTAACCGTCAGTGCTGGCCGTGCCTGGGACAGTTTGGGTAGGTTCGGATGGTGTGATTCGTTGACCGAGGGTTTGTGTGAGATGCAGGAATCACTGCATCCGCAGGTCTGCTGAACAGCGATTCATCCCACGTGGTGGTCGGCTGGGCTGCGCACCCCGCCTCACAGACAGCCCGAGGCTGTTTGGCCCCAGCGGCAGAGACTTGGTCCCGCACGGCCCGGCATGCACAGGCGCAGCTCTCACCCGGCTGCGCCGCGTTCCAGAAGAGGGCGGCTACGAAGCCCTTGCCCTCCCTCTTAGACTGCACCAGGCGGCTGAGGACGATGGCGAAGGTCACCTTGCGCTGCTCCTCGTCGAAGAAGCGCTGTGTTGTGCCTGGAGGTGGTGGAGGCCCGGGATCGAGCACTTGAGCAGGACTGTGGGTATTGGCTGAAGAGGCGCCACTCCGTGGGCGATACCCGCTTGCCAGGCTGCCGGGATCCGGAGCTCCACTTGCAAAGGCGGGCAGCCTTGCGGCGGTCCACAGGCGCCTCCCGACCCGCCCACTACCCATTGCGCCCCCTCACCGTACTCCTCCACAATCAAAGGCTTGCCCATGCCAGCTGCCAAGTCGTTGTACAGCTGAAGCTTTCTGGGTCCGTTTGCAAGTTCCAGGGATATTAAGGGTTGGGCAACCAGGAGTTGACACATAATTTCAAAAAAACATTGGGGTGCACAAGACCAATGCTAAGCAGCCCTCCTAATGAGATCAAGGCAACCTGAGCAAGCGCAGCCGCCTGACAAAGCCGTAAAGAGGCGCGCTTGCAGCCCTATCCCTCAAGAGGCCGCCTGCAGCGCTCGAGCAACCCCATGGACTCTCCATCGTGCCGCTAACCTGTCAAGATAGGGGAGGAACTCGTCAAAGGTTGGCTTGCGCCAACCCAAGACAGCCATCTGCTCCATCTGCCTGCAGGAAGGAGAGTCAGCGTGATTGCGGAGGGGTCACTGTCAGGGGCAACAGTGGCGGCCGATGAAGCGGCCCCAGGGGTGGGAGCGGATAACAAAAAAGCAACAAGTACAAGATTCAGTTTGTGCAGGAACTCTTCCGTGCGGCTCTCGTATTCAAAGCTCAATCACCGGGATGCATGACTGCATCCAGAAAACGCAAACACGTACTATCCTCCATGTAACACTGTCAGAGCTGCCAGCAGGCAATCAAGACCCTGCTGACATCGAGGAAAGCGCCCACCTCCAGTACATGTGCGTGGTCATGGCGCCGACTGCCCCCAACTGTGAAATTTGCATGACATCCTCCCCCTCACAGCCGGCCCCAGCACCAGGGTTCTCGGACAGAAGGTGGCCTGCGTGCGCGTGTCAGGCGTACTGTTGCTGAGAATAATGGTGATTCTTGCAGCAGAAGAGGATGTGGGCGGCAAGAGGGTGTGGGTGTGCATGTATGCATGGGTGTGTGCACCTGCATGTGTGCGTATATGCGAGGGGATCATGCATGCATGCAAGCGTGTGCCTGCACATCGGCACATGTGTGCTGCGCGCTGACGTAGATCGCAAGAGTGGGAACCGCGTCTAGGGCTGTGGCGTGTGCTCCCTAGCCGTGCGGGTTGATACGACCCTGCCATGAAGCCGCGAGCCCCATGCAACGCTTGGGCCCAGGGCTTCAGAGGTTTTCACGCCCAACATAAGCATGTTGTTCTGGTTGGAACCCTGCGCACCCGACGCCTCTGGCGAGAAGAAACCCTCAGTGCCGGCCAGCACCAGCGCCCCCGACTTGACCAGCCCCCGCGTGAATGACGTCACGTCGCTCAGCCAGTCCAGGTGAGCTGCCAGGTCACCGGGTGCACAGCCAGGACACCTGCGCGGTGTGAGGCCCAACGGAGACGTTACGCCAGCGGCAAACAACATTGCAAAGTGTTCAACGCCCTCATGCAAGCAACGACACGTGAGACGGGGCCTTCACTCTGAGCCAAAAATGGAGGCTCTCACCTGGGCTCATTGATGACGTCAAAGCCATAGACCGTTGGGTCCGATGAGTAGGTGCGGCCGCTGAGGGTGTTGGTGCGGCCCAGCATGAAGGCTACATGGTCCTTGTACAGCTGGCGCACAGAGGGGTCCCTGGGTTGTGGGTGTTATGTGTGATTTTGTGCGGGTGTGATGTCTTTTCAAGCGGGTCAGTGCAGTTGCTGCAGAGAGTGGATTGCAGCCGGGAATCCGGGCGCAACGATGGCGAGGGCATGCGTGCACCTTACCTGTAGAAGTCCACGACGTCGCCCGTCCAGCTGCTGTTGGCGCCGCCAGGGCCGCCGCGCGCCCAGGCCATCCAATCCTCCGGGCCCTTGTACGCCTGCATTTGGTGAGCGGTAGGGCCGGAGGTCAAGGTATTTGGGGAGCCAACCGACGCTGAGTTTGATCACTTGACTGAGGGCGGCTGCAACTACGGGCAGAAGTGTCAGCCAGTGGGCCGTGCGCAAAGGACGCACCGCCCAGAAGTTTCCAAGGGCCAGGATCACGCGCATGCCGCGGCGCTCGGCGCCCTGCACAACATAGTCGAGACCCCTGAGGCGGTGCAGAGAGGGGGCCGTCGCATGGGCAGCACTATAGAGGCGGCGCATCAGTGCGTGCCAAAGCCTTTCGTGGATCAACTGGAGTTGGCTAAAGTTGGTCCGCAGCCCGCATGCCGACACTGCCCCCAAATGGCACCAAACGTCGCCTGGGCGACAAATACCCCACCTTAGCTCGCTTTCAGAATAGGATCCTGGAGCAGCAGGCATGTTGTGGTTGAAGGCCCACGTGCGCACCAGCCTGGCCCCAATGCGCTGGGTTGCGCGGGGGCAGCGAGCGGGTTCGGGTACTGCGGTAGCTGCGCCTTCAGGTTGTAAGCAGGCCTGCTGCGTTGCTGCCCAGAATGCATAGCGCAACGCATGCAGGCCATGTGCAGCACGCATGCATTCAGTCATGGATGTCATGCTCAGCATTCATGCATTAATTTCATGCCCCATTCATGCATGCCTCAGCGGTCGTGCAGTAATATGATTCTGCAAGGCCCAAAATCCATCACAGTCGACGCTCTGCACGCTCGCACACCTGCAGACTGTCTAAGACCACGTCGACGGAGCCTGTGTCACCGGCCGTGGCGGCGCTTGGCATCCAGTAGGCGTTGGCGCCCACGCAGTACTCGTAGGCGGCTGCATCATGGTGTCGCATGGCACGCCATGCATGGTAATGGTCGTCAGGGAGGCACACGGGGGGGTGGGGAGGGCGTGCGTCGTGGCGACCGCAGTTGCAGCTCAATGTCTTTATGTGCAGGGGATATTGCTTTTTGGATTGGATTTGCTCTCATTAGCATGATGCGGGTGGCAAACAGTACAGTAGGGGACAGAAGCGTGGGAGGGGCGGTAGATCACGCAAGCTCTCGCTGCGGCCGCACACGCACCTGCTCTCCCGATCATCACGATGATAATAAATGATGAAAGTGACAATGCCATGCCTGATCGGGGAGACTTCCTGGCACTCCGATCGCTTTGAACTCGCTCACCAGACAGACAGATCTTTATCATACACGAAAACAATTGCGAAGATACCAGCTGTGGAAGTTTCATAGTTGATGCTGTCGATCAATCACAATCACAACCCGTTCCGTGCAAAGCAACGCACTTGTGAATGAGTCCATGTGTCAACCCTCGTCACCGCAGTGAGGAGGCAGCTGCTCCTGGTGCAGTATGATTGTGCTTTCCTGAATTCCCTGCCGGTAGTTTTAGAGTTGTTGTCCAGCTATCCATTGGCAAAGGGCCACAAACATGCAGCACAGCGTTGCGGAGTGCATGACAGCACAACACCCGGGTTGTGTCCCGCACTGGGATTGTGCATCATGGGACCATGAGAGCTATTTCATAAATTTCTTCTAAACCTGGGCGCTGGACCTGCATGCGCCTTGATGCGTTGTTTCACATGGCAAACCTTATGTTTGTGGCCTGTTGTCTCCCTTTGGTCAGCTTTTGCCTGACGTACCCTGCAATGTTGCGCATGATGCGCATTAGCCGCACGCCACCCCGCTGCACCCTGTCACAAGCACTCCACAGCACCAGACCCGGCGACATGCTCACGGCATCTCCCCACTAGCAGGTCCTTGAATCACCTTACCCTTCACCTACATGCTATACCTTATGCCATGTGATGATGGCACAGTCAAGTGCTTGTGTATGGAAAAGTCATCCTTGTTGGTGACAGCAGACGTTGCTGTGCACGTTGCACTGTGGCCCCCCTGCAAAAAGGGGTTGCATCACTTGCAGGCAAACCGCTTCTGGGACAAGTGGACGCTCAGGGAAACAACGAGAAGTTGCAGCCCCTTGCAATCCGTCGCACCCCGGTTTGTGCACGTGCAAGGGGCCGCAGCGCTGAAAACTTGCGACTGCGTTGTTGGCACGCATTCACGTTGTTCGTGGCCATGCAAAAACCTACCCCCACGCTCCACCGTGCAGTGGATGGGAGCCGCCACCAATGCTTTGTTCTTGATAGGTGCCTCATGGACAATGGAACATGCTGGCCTACACCTCCATCCAACTTCACATGCCGTGAGAAGCCAAGTACACGAATTCAACAATTGACAAATCTGTATGACGCACAATGGGGTTATGAAACGCGGATCAAGGCAGGAGTTGCCCAACCTGGCCTCGATGCCAGCCCCGCATCACGGGCTGACTTGCCCCTCTGACGCGCTGCCGCCGCTTTGCTGCTCGTCAATCCGCCGCCTGAGGTCCCGCAGCACGGGTGTCATGTCCACAAAACCCTCCCCCCGCCGCTTGCCGGCCGCGCCGCCACTCCCGCCGCCGGCGCGGCTCAGCGCCGCGTCCACGACCGCCGCCGCCTCGCTGGCCCGGCCCAGCGCCAGCAGCGCCGCGCCGCGCGCCTGCGCGAGCGCGTGCGGCTGTGCGTAGCCCGCTGCCTCGGACTCGCCGTATGCCCGCAGCGCCTCTTCGTGCCGCCCGCCGCGCGCGCGCGCCGTGCCGACGCAGAACAGCGCCTGGCCGACGAAGGGGCCGTATGCGTCGGCGGCGGTGGGGGCGCGGGCGGCGTCGATGCAACGGAGGTAGGCAGCCTCTGCTGCGGCCCAGTCGCCTGTGAGCGCGTGGACCTGGGCTGCGGCGTAGTGCGCCCTGCGTGGCGTTTCGGATAAGAGAGAACAGGGCGGTAAAAACAGGCATGTAAGGGCAGATCTCTTGAAAATGGGGGGCAGCAAATGCGCGTGCTTGAGCATGTGCGATCGTCGGCCATCGCCATCTGCGGTACGCCCGGCGCTTTTCCACCCCCTGTCCAGCCAGCGCCGGCGTGGCTCTGCACATGAGTCGCATGTCATCTAGCACAGCGTGCAACAAACGCAACACTGGGCGCATCTCTGCGCCTCCCTCTCGCTCAAACCCTCAATGGCAGCCCAACCCCGCACGCCGCGCACCCAGCGTTCGCCGGTTCCAGCTCCACAGCCTTTGCCAGGCAGTACAGCGCGTTTGGGTAATGATGCAGGGCCGATTCTTTCGCCGCCATCGCCACCAACACGTCCGCGCCGCCCGCTGCCGCCACACGCACCTCCAGCCCTGGGTCTACTGCCCCCGCGCCCCCGCCGCTGCCCGCGGCCGCCGGCCCGCCGTAGCCGAGCGCGGCGCGCAGGCGGGGGCTGCGCAGGGCGAGCTGCAGGCTGAGGGTGAACCCGCTGGCCGCCAGCCAGTGCAGCAGTACAGCCTGCGGCAGCTGCAGCTTGAAGTACAGGCTGGCCAGGGTGAGGCAGTACAGGAAGGCGGGGGCGTACCGCAGGAGCGGCTGCAGGAAGGTGCCGGCGATGCTGGGGTGGCGGCTGGCGGCGCCTGCGAGTCGAGATTGGGTCAGAAGCGTCAGCAGTGGGATTGAAGGACATAGAAGAACTAGACCTGTAAAAGACTCATGGTCCATTGCGCCCCGTGCGTGACTTGCATGTCTCTTTATGCGCGATGCTGGAGACAGACCAGCCCAGCACATACCAGAATAAGCAGGCCTGGAGCTCACCAGAGGCCTTGAACCCCATGCGGATGCTTGTGAGCATCATGCCCGTCACCAGGAGCGGCAGCCCCAGCCCCGCCGCGCCCATCGGCAGCGCCAGCCCGCCGCTCGCGGCCGACGCGGCGACAGCAGGGAGCGTCAGGTCTTGGAACCACAGGATGCCCCCGCTGTCCAGCCCGGGCCAGGGCGGCTGGCGCTGCGCCATGGACCTTACGCATATCCCCGCGTAAACAAATATCGGCCACTGGGCGAGATTGTTCGCGAGGAACCAGGCCGGGTGCGGCACGCCGCACTTGACGCGCAGCTGCCCGTACAGCTCGACACGCCGCTGCCACCGCTGCAGCTGCAGGAGGCCCTCCTGCGCCGCCGCGAGGCCGATCAGCGCCTCGGGGCTCGCGGCGGCCGCCCCGGCGGGCCCGCTGGTCTTGTCCGGCTGCTGCCGCTGCTGCTGCTGCTGCTGCTGCTGCTGCTGCTGCTGCTGCAGCTCCCACGTGGCTGCTACCACGGCCTGCTCCAGCTGCTGCCTGAGCGCCTGCGCCTCCTTCGCATCCCTCTGCCTGCTGAGCTCATGGCTCTCCCTCCACAGTGCCATGTTGCTCCTGACAATCCGCGCCTGCCGCACGCTGAGCGGCAGCAGGGCGGTTTTCAGGGACAGAGTGGCGAGCGGGATGGACGCCCACCAGGGGAGGCCCGTCCACGCGTGCACCGCATCGAGCGCGGCGCAGCCGGGGTCGAGCAGCGATGAGGGGGCCGCTGCCGCTGCGGCGGCGGCTGTGGGCGCTGCGGCGGCGCCGAGGCCGCCTGCTTCGAAGCTTTGCACGGCTGGTGGCTCGCGTGGGCTGCCCGCACATTGGCCTGCGCCTGGGGGCGGCCAGGCCCAAGTGCCGCTGCTTGCAGGGTCTAGACCTGCCGTTAAGCCTGCCGAATTCTCCAGCTGAGTGGCGATGCCGGTACTGCTCTCATTGCCTGCAGCTGAGCCTGATGAGGCTGCTGTGGCGTACGCGCCACACTGCTGCTGCTGCCGCTTGCAAATGGCTAGCCAAAGGCCTGCCGTTGCCCTGCGTTACACAAGCCCAAAGCGATCGTCATGCCGTGGTGCTTGCCTGGCAGCCAGCCGGGGTGGCGGCCTGGAGCCGCCAGTGCGCAAAGCAGCAACCGAGCAAGCGTCAACTCACCAGGCCTCCCGCAGCGGCGTGGCCAATTGCGGCTGTGTCGCGAGCGTCCCATATGCCCAAGCCAGATGCGCTGCTTTACGCCTCCCAGAGGCAGCCATTTCCTTTATGATATGTCCTGTATCCCGGCTGCAAATCCGATCTAGGGGATAATCTGCTCTGCATCCCCAGGGTAGGTGTGAAAAAAATAAATTCAGATAGGTGTCTTAGCTGCGGAGCAGCCACAGCCGTCGCACTTTGCTGGCGGTGACATTTGTCACTCGAAGTATTGACGAACCGCTGATCGACACTAGCGCATGTCGTCGAACGATGTCGCTGCGAAGCGCAAAAGTGTCAAACTTTCAATCTCATAGGTTTGCGACGTGACTCAACCACCCGCCGCTCGTCTCGTCGGCACAGAACTTTTCATGCGGGTGTCCGGGCGCACGCAGGGAATCAAATCTGAAAAACAGCTCTTGTGTGCGGGCAGAAAGGCGGCTGGCCTCCGTGACCTTGACCGCGCTCCCCTGATTCATGGACACCTGCATGCTGCGTCAACGAACGACGAAGACCTGGGTCCGCATCAGCATACGGGCGTAGTTGGCGTTACATGGCGTCATGGTGCAAATTAGGGTCCGCTTGGGGCCCGCCGCTGCTGCTCATGCTGGCGATCCTCACCATGCGGCCGGCACGTGCAGCAGGGGTGTCGTCACGCGCGTCATCGCCGGAGGCGCCCCACGACGGCGCCGGCGCTGCCTGGGTCTCGCAGGCAAGTCCAGCTGCCTGCCGTTACGTTCACAAGAAGTCTCAGCCGCCTGAAAGGCGCCGCTTGATGACCGTCGCACCCGCACGTGCATCTGCGGGTGATGCATCGACACACTCATGGCCCCCGGGGGCTGGAGTGCCGCGCGTCCGCAACCAGAGCAGCGACGGCGGTCGCCCGGGCGGACGTTCTGTCCCCTGAGCGCCGCCCTTTGTACCGCCTCAAAACCACCCCTCCCTGCTGCAAACCCGCAGGACGGCGGCGACTGCGCCGCCCCCGGCGGCGCGTGCGTGAATTTTGTTGATGCGCTCACAGACCCGGGCATAACCCTCATTTACCTGACGAGTGACATCATCCTCAGCCACGCCGACTTTGACTCATTTGCGGACCAGCAGTACCACCTCGGGCGCAACCTGACGGTCACGTCCGCGCCGGGCGGCCCGATGCGCGCGTTTGACGCGGATTTCATGGCGCCGCGCGTGCGCGTGACGCGCGGCGTCACCCTCACATTTCAGGGGGTGAGGATCATGAACGCCAGGTGAGGCTGGAAAGCTTCTGCACCAACTTCTGAAAAGGGGCACTAGGAACATTGTGTGCCCAAGCCCCCCCATCTCTCGGCCCAGCCCGGCCAAAGAAGGCTTGCCCTTCTCGTTGCCTTTGCCCCTCCCTGCCCAACCTCGCCCTAACGCCCGTCTTGCACCAAACGCCCGAACAACAAATTGCAGGAAAGCGATCGGCGTAATGCTCGACATGTTGACCGGGGAGCCGGGCAGCACAGTGATCCTGCGCGACAGCCCCTTTTACCGCTACGCCGCCCTGGCGGTTGACCAGTCAATATTACTCACAACGAGCTTCGCCCGCCCCGCGCGGTTCCCCGGCAACCAGACCGCACGCGCGCTGCTCGGCGCTGCGGCGGGCTGCTCCCCCGCGGCGCGGGCCGACATGGTGTTTCAGGACATAGCCATCGACGCGAGCGCCGCGGCGATGCCGGCGCCGTCGCCGCAGCTGCAGGCCGGGCCGAGCGCGCATGCTTACACCGTCGTGCTGCTTAACGTGACGCGCGAGTGCGACACAACGCCGTCTGATGAGTGCTTGTCGTCGGCGACTCCCGATGTCTGCCTGAACCGGCTGAACGACGACTACCAGCGGCGGAGGCGCGCCGCGGCGGCGTCGGCGCGCGGCGACAGCTTGCGCGGAGGCGCGGCAGCCGGCATCGCCGTCGGCGCCGCGACGGCGGCAGTTGTGCTGATGGCGGGCGCGGGCGCAACGGTGGCGCTTCGGCGTCGGAGCAAACGCGCGGCCAAATGCGAGGATGAGCATGGTGCAGTGTCGGCATCGCCTCAGCTCAACAGCAAGGCGCAAAAGGGCGCCGCGTCGGGCGCCGAGCAAGTCTGAACGCCCATGCAAGCCCCTGCAGGAGGGGCGGCTTGACTGGTTGGAGTGCTCGGCGGGCCGGTCCTGCATCCAGGCATCCGCACGGCATGTGGCCAAGGCGGCATCAATCCCGCTCACTGCTGTGGAACAAAGCCAATTTTGGGCTGGGCGCCCTTCGCTCCTGCTCGGCTTGCCAGCGGAAGTTCAGCGTGTGCTGCTGGCGGTTGCTGCGCGTGCAACCCGAACTGCGGGGGCCTTCATTGATGCGTATTCAATCGACTCTGCTTCCTGCCGCGCCACGGCAGGCCCCACTGAGCCGGCTGTCCCGCTGTGGGCTTCTGGGGCGAGGCAGCGCCAATGGCATGGCGCATTTGGGTTTTTGTGTGGGCTGGCGGCATTCTTCTTGCCGTGCGTGGGGCATGATCCCAGGGGTTTCAATCAAGGTCTGCCTCACAAGCACCCTATTCGCGTGCACGGCACACCAGCCGCCTCGTTTTGCCACATGGGGAGGGTTCATTTGTCAGGAGCAGCTGGTGTGTTGCAGCTGCCATGGGCTATTCGACCCCGTCTGGCGTGGTGCCAAGCTGGCGCCTTCATCACCGGACTGGCAGCCAGATATATTTCACACTCTAAGCAAATTGCCCAACAGGTGGAGTACGCACTGGTTGATATTGAGGAAGTGTAGAGGGGCCCTCTCATCCTGTATCACAAACTCTTCGCGTGTGGGGGCTGCCTTTTACTGGCCTGCTGTGTGCAGCTGCAAGGCTCGCTTCACACTGTTGGCCAGAACCTGCCAGAGCCCTGCGTGCCCAAATGCACACGTTTGACTGGCACGCCTGCAGTTTATGTTCATGTTTGTTCTTGCGCGGCCGCCGGTTGGCCCTGCTGCCGCAGGCGTGCACGTACGGCCTGGCCGGTTGCAGCGTGAGCCCTCCAGGGCGCTGGGTTCTTGGCTGCGCATACGCGAGCCTCGGACCCTTTTTCTGCAAACATACCGTGGCGTTACGGTAGTTGTGAATGTGTGTTGGCTGTTTTGGAGGAATTTAACCTGTAATGTACTGTATTCTCAGCTGAAGTTCCCGGCCCAGACTGTGCTTTAGGTGTGTCAAGCAAGTGAAGTGAGAAGCCACTTGCAACAGCAGGCAAGGAGTTATCCCTCCTACTTGGATAGCTGTAATCTGCAGGATTGTATCCAAGGTCCTCCAAGCACCATGCTACTGGTGACCAAGACCATCTCCGCAACACCCACCTAGCGTACGTGTGCTGGTCAGGTAGCTGCATAAGCTGATGCATGCAAATAGGCCGGAACTGCCTGTTGTTACTGTGCCACTATAAGCGGATATGTATGTGGATGAATGCAGCAGGCAGCCTTGCACAGGTTGCAGTGTGCGGCGACAGATTGGATTGCGCAGCAGACCCGTGATGTAAGCGGAGTGGGAGGGGGGTATGCCCAAAGCAGGCAGCGCTTGGCACATCGGCCAGCGCGCGTGGGTGCAAAGTCAGTGTTCAGGCCGGGTTTGAGTGCACTGCACACACCCCTATCGCCGTACACGCTCCGGTGGTTCACCCCGGGTCACGTTTTGCGGGTCCCTTGCACACCCACACCACGACGCAATGCGTGGAGACTGGGGCGAGTGCTGCCGCACACAGGCGCCGTGCCCCGTGCGCGCCGTGTCACGTCAGACCGTGCGGCTGCCGGCTGAGGCGCAGCCAACGCGGCACGGGCCCAGACAACAGCTCCGGTTGGCCCTGTACCCGCTTGCCCGTTGTGCGGATCGGTAGTGGCGTTTGGTCAGTCGGGGAAGTTTGAGGTTTGATCATGAGGGTCCTGGTCAGGTGACGTTGGTGGCGCGCCTGTGCAGAGCGCAGGGGCCCACAGGTGTCGCAAGGGGCCGGCCCTGCTCGCAGCAAGTAGACTGTTGTGCGGTCACAAGCCGGGCACACCTGGTGTTCTTATCATGGGCAACAAAACTGAGAGGATGTGCAAGCATGACATCTCAATACAAGCGGCATGCGATGTGACTCGTAGGGCACCTGACCGGCGAGTGAGGGTGACAGAAAGCACGACCAGGCGCATGCAGCCGGGCGCAGCAACCGCCCACAGCCCTCACTCTGGTTGAGGGGGTTCAGCCAGTGCCAATCCATTGAACAAAATCTGGAGAGGCTCGCGCCGCAAAAATGGGCCCCTTCACCACCACTGTGCACGTTTGCAGCGAGACGATGATGTCAGCATTTGACAAGACAAGGATGTGCGCTGCACAAACAGGGGCGTAAAATACAGGGTGCAGCAGCAGCGGGACGGACTGCGCACGATCAAAAGCAGAGGGCCGCAGCCGCCGCCGCCCGCGCCGGTGCACCGCGCCCGCCGCTGCTACCACCCCCGCCTTGATCGCCGCGCAACAATTTCCGCCGCAGAGCGGCCGGCTCCTCCCCCCGGCCCCGCCAGCGACCCGCGCCACCCGGCTCATCGGCTGGGACAGCCAGATCGTCGTCTTCCGTGCCAACCTTGGACACCATGCCAGGTCCGTTAGGCCCCGGCAGATCAACGAGCAGCTCGTCCTCACTCTCGTCCTCCGCTTCGCCTTCCTCCTCTTCCTCCTCCCCCTCGTTGTCCTCCCCCTCCTCCTCCTCGGCCCCAGTGACCTCCTCGCGCCGCCGCCGCCGCGGCAGGCCGCTCATGCCGCCGTCCACGCTGCCGCCAACACCCACGCCCTCGCCGCCGCCGCCGAGCCGGAGCCCAAAATCCAGGGGCGCCGCCGCCAGCAGCTGGTCCACCTCAGCGTCCTCTGCGACCCCACCAATGACGTCATCAGCCGTCACCATCGCGCCGGCCCCAGCGGCCTCGCCCTCCGTCCCGGCCGCCTCCCCGGCCGCCGTCAGCATTCCCACCGACCCCTCTTCTTCAACCTCACCCTCCTGGCCGGCCGCGGCGCCGCCGCCGCCGCGGCCGCCCCGCCACGGCCGCCAGCCGACCAGGACGCGCAGCAGATCGGTGAGCGTCACGATGGAGACGGGGCGGCCACGTGAGTCAACCACGTAGAGCCGGTGGACGCGGCCGGATGAGATGAGGCCCAGCGCGGCGCGCAGGGAGGTGTCTGGGCCGCACGACACCACTTGGACTGGGGCAAGAGCCTCGTGGCCCTGGGCAGGAGATCAGAGTTTGATGGAAGTGTATGCCGTCAGAATTTGGGTTCCAACCTTTTGGTGCAGATTAGAGGCCGTGATTCAGCTGTGCGCAGCACGTGGGCGTAGAAGCTTCCGCGCCCCAAGCTGTCGCTGTTCTCCGCCGGCAGATTGGGACGCACTGTCGCACCTTGAGCCCCCACTCGTTGGCGGCGCCGCCGGGCGCGCCACGGGGCGCGGCGGTGTGGGGCCAGCCGGGGCTCGTCTTGCACGCAAGGAACTGAGCAGTGGGGGGAGAAAGGACCGGGTGGGCGGTGTGATGAGGAGGTGGGCCAGGGGGAGGGCCGGGAAGGCATCACTTGGCGGTTGGAGCGGCTTTTCATCTGAAGACGCTCAAAAGGCAAGAAGCCAGGGACCGAGCAAGGAGGGAGCACAGCGCTCACACCGCTAGCCGCCTGGCCACCAGCCAAAATCACACAAGCCCTTGGCAGCGGCTCGCCAACCAGAGCCTCCGATTTGGCGATCTTCTTGCCCGTTTTGTTTTTCAAAACGTCTCAGGGCTCTGCTTTAGGATCCAAATCTAAGTTTTTGCAGCAACCGCATCACGCCGTCCTCACCTGCATCACCGGCATCGCCAGCGCCGAAAAGTGCTGCGGCAGGAGGCCCCTCAGGTCGCTGCTGCTCAGGTTGCCGCCGAGGACGCCCGCCGCGCCGTCGTGGGCGATGACGCCGACGCACGACACACGGTTGGTCTGACGGGGCGGTTTGAGTGCGTGGGGGGAGATTGTAGGGTTTGGTATCCAGAGTGCAGTGTTTGATTGCTTTGAGACAGGGTTTTGGGGGAGACCATCCGAGGGGTCAACAGATTCGCAGGCAAGTCTTCACCCCAACTGGCCTCCTTCTGCCATGCCTTGAGCGCAGGCAGCGCTGCAAAATTGGCGTGTCGACCCCATTCAGGCAGGGCGCTTTCAAGGTCACTTGGGGTGCTCTTCCTTGCCTCTGCAGGCATGTGCACGAGCATGCAGAGACACACAAGTGCTTCTACCTGCCCAGCAACCGCGACGCGCCGGGCCCGGCTACGCACCGCCATCGTGGCCAGGGCGTTGATGGTGCTCATCTCCCCCGGAACGCACACCACCGCCTTTGACGCCAGACCAAGCTGCGCCAGCGTCCGCTCAGCCAGTGGCCCGATCTCGTCCACGTGCCGGCCGATGAAGCAGATGACGTCACTCTGACTCACCACGTGCATGATGCTGCAGGTGGGGGGATGGAGCGTCGGCGGGTGGGGTAGCAGCGAGGGCGACAGGCGAGGCAAGAGCGGCGATCCACGCTTTGCTAGCCGAGAAATGATAATTCACGAGCGTTGTGCAGGCTGTGGCGGGAAAGAGCCCGCAGCCAAAACAAGGGCCACGCCAGCGAGCACCAGCACGATAGAGGTGTGTTTTGCCGAACTGCGTACCACGAACGCCACCCACCGAATGCCTGAGACCCCCTCATGTTGGGCCGCACAGCCGGCATCGGCGCCCTGCCCGCCGCCCGCAGCAGTTGCGTCCGGCGGGGGCGGCGCAGCCTGCTCTCGCTGCTGCTCCCGCTGCTGCTGCTCGTCTCGCAGCCTCTGCGCAGCTGCCGCCGCTGCGATCCCGACCGGCTCCAGCCGCGCCCCGCTCCCGCGCACGCGCCCAGGGGCAGGTGCGCCGGCGGCCGCCGCGTCGCCGCCGGACGCCTCAGCATCCTCTTCCATACCTTGGCCCTCGCCGCCAGCTGCGGCCGCGCTCCCGAAGGATGTACGACCTCCAACGCCGCCGGAGCCGCCGCCGCCACACCCCTCATCCACGCTCATCGGCCCCGCTGCCGCAGCCGCGCCCGTGGCAGCGACGGCGGCGGCGGCGCCGCCGCCGTCCTCGTATTCGTCTTCGTCTGAAGCGGTGGTGGTTGCTGACACATCCAGATCAAACACGCCCACGCGATGGATGATCTGAGGCGGTCGACAGGGGGGATGATCAGCGCCATGAATCCAGTGGGCTTCCTTGCCTCGACAGACACGGCCGGCGGGCAGGAACTGTCAGGCAAGGCCGGGAACGCACAAGGTTCGGCGCGCCGCGCGGCGCGAAGGTCCCCCCAAGGCCCGGGCGCTTTCTGGGCACCACACCGCGCCGTCGTCCGCGCCCCCACACCTGCGGCGCCTCCAGCCCGGCGTCGCAGGGGTCTGCATCGGCGCCGCCGCCGCCGCCGCCGCTGCCGCCGCCTGTGCCGCCCTCTAACAGGAAGCCGAAGCGTATGACGTCCAGGAAGCTGCTGCTGACGGCGGCCCTGCGGCGGACGCGTCAGCGAGCCGCCAGTTGCGGGCGCGTGGATGGGGGGACTGGGTCGAGGTCCGCGGCAGTCACGGTTGACCAAGTCAATGCTCGGGACAGCGAGGTGCACTCAAGGTGAGGTTGTTAGAGGAGAAGGCGAAGACTGTGATTGAAAGCTGAAAGCGAGGGAACATGGTTGCCAAGGGGGTCGGAGGTGACACCGCAATCCTCACTCCAGACCCGCAATGCCCAGGGTCACACCCTCACTTGTACACGAGCGCGCCATCCAGTCCGGTATGCACCTTGGACAGTGGTGTGTGCTCCAGCTGCAGGCCTGCGGGCGGCATTAAACCCAAAAAGCAGCCGGCGCTGAGCAGAAGCATAGGGATGGGCTGTGAAGCCCCCGGGCCCCGCGCCCTGCTGTGGTGCGGGGGCGACGGAGGGCGCACCAAGGGCACCTGGCGGGCCGGCCGCCCCTTGGCGGCCGCCTGTTCGACTGTGGAACCCCCGCTTGGCCTCATCGGCTGCAAGCCCTAAGTTTGGGACCCGAAATTCACACCGCTCATCAAGGGGACTGATAACAGCAACCACTGGACACTCAGCAAAGTCAAGGAGTTCTGGTCTAGTGACTGACAAACGTGAGGGGAGATGCGCCATGTATTGGTAAGCCGCCCCCCATGAATCCAAATGACAAGGCTGACCTTCGAGCACGGGGATGTTGAGTCGTGCAGCAGCGTCGTTGCAATTCAAACTCAAAATTGTTGTGTACCCACCTGCGGTGCGCAGGCGGTACTCCCGATTCTCATCTGACAGCTCCCGCACGTTGATGAGCCCCAGAAAGGTCCTCAGGATGTCATTGAGGTCAACAAACCCCACAAAGTCGCCGCTGCGGTGATACGCGGCGTCCGGTTTGGCAAGTGCGGGGGGGCAAGGTGGTGTGATGGGCTGTGTGCCGAGCATGAAGAGTGCGGCAGGGGCATGAGCAGGTACAGATAGAGAAACACAATTCGAGTGCACGGTCGCACTTGAGGCATGCACGCTGCTTCCGCCCCCACCGCGCGCGAACGGCGGCGTCTGGACTGCCTGAGTGGGCCACCCTGCCCAAGGTCCGCATGGTGGCCTGCCTGCAGCACCCGAGCGCCCACCTGGCCGCGTCGAGCAGCGGGGCGCTGAGGACGTTGGCGGCGGCGAGCGCGCGCAGCGCCTGGCCGGCCGTCTGGGCCGTGGTCAGTGTCAGCACCGCGCTGGGGGGCTTGCTGCCAAGATACTGGCCCAGAGTGGTTGACGCCAGCAGTGCACGCACGGACGCGTAGCCGGCGTCGCCCCCATGGTCGACGCACAGCTCTGACGGTATGCGCTCCAGCACGGCGGTGTATAGATGTCGCAAGTGCGAATAAATGGGTCCTAGACCGTGTCACGGAAGATGGACGCAAGAGAATTGCAGGGTGGTATCGCACGTACTGCCAAGAGCGTTACAAGAGTATTGTTTGCGCGAAATTCTCCTAAACGAACTTGATACACCTCTACGAATGACCATGGCCAAACGCCGCAGCAGGACACACCAGATCCCGAAACAGTGACAACGCCCAACGAAATGCGTGGATGCCTACTTGTATGCCACACGTGACAACTGCACGTCACTGCAGCTGGCAGCCCCTGCCCTCGCGACTTTCTGAGCCTTGCGCCCCGCGAACGGGCGGGCGAGCGTCGTCGTCCACGTCACCAGCACTCGCCACCCCCGCACCGGCGCCGCGCGCCTCTCCCTCACGTCCCCGCTGCTGTCCTCGACCCTGATGCTGTTCAGCCTGCTCCCCCCGCTGCTGCTGCTGCTGCTGCTGCCGTTGCTGCTGCTCCTCTGCCTGGAGCTCCTGGGCCTCTGCTTCGATCGCCACGGCCACGCGTTCTGGCAGCATCTGCATCGACAGCAGCTGCATGATGCGGTCAGCAGTGAGCTCTGGATGCACCATCTGCGAGGCAAAAGGGTCAGGGAAAGCAGGCGGTGGGTGGCAAGGGATGGAGCTGCCCAATACTGCAGCCTGTTAACGGCTGTGGCGGGGCCATGACGGGGGCAGGGTATGGCAGAGGTGAAGGGCCCCAGTGACATCAGCACAGACTTCGCCGTCCGCTGGCCGATGCTGGCACGTCCCCCCCCCCAAAGGACGAGCAAACAAGAGGAGCCGTATTGCGTTTTGCCAGCGGCCACCACTCACCACCACACACCTGAAGGAAGTTGACCAGTGCCGAGAAGTTGTGGGGCTGGTGCACGCCGCCCCAGGATATGTCAGGCTCCATTTTCTCCAGTCTGTGGCCATAAAGCGCAAATCCGAGCAGTTATGCTGGATCTAGATCAGGCACCTCAAATGGGGGTATACACATGACGCGAGCGGCAAAAGTCGGGGTGGTCAGTCGCCGAACACCGGCGATCGTCAGCCTCGCACATCCGGATGCGGCCCACGAGCGGCTCTGGGCGCTCCAGCCGGGTGCTGGGCTCACGCGGCGCCGTGCGGCCGAGGCGCACCTGTGGGCGTCCGTGTGCTGCTGGTTGAAGCGGCCGCGGCCGGCGGGGCCGCGGTCCTGACAGGGGCCGCACAGGTCGTAGCCGATGGCCTCTGGGCAGTCCCTGCAGACACAATGGGTGCGACGTGCCGTCTGCAATCCCTCTAGATACATTGGTGACGTATGGTATATACAAGGGCTGATGGCTGGGCATCCCAGCTGCTCGCGTCAGGCTGCAGGCTTCTGAGGTGGTTTTGAGTACAGTGATCACTGCCAGCTCTCAGGGGAACAGAGATTCGTGCCGTAATGTGGCATCCAACAGCCCTCACTGAGGCACTGCGCTACGATCCGATCAGGCCGCCCAAACCACACCTGCACTTGTACCGCCGTCCAACAATCGGGTACGCCCCGCAGTCGTCGCACCCCACCGCGTGCCAGATGTACTGCTCATCAGACACGCGCATCAACTCCCGCTGCAGGTCGGGCCACAGCTCGGCCAACGGGCGGCCGCTGGCCAAGAGCGCTTCGACCGCAGGCGGCGGCGCGCGGCGC